TCTTTCGTGAATAAAGGAACCCAATTCTTCAAAGAAAACTATAAAAGTTACAGGTAATTCGCGTATTGCGTGTCTAGTAAGTCTACTTCGGCTACACGCTATTTTACTTCGATTCGTATGCGTTGCTTGTAGCAACTGGCAAGCCGACACAAAAAGCTACATAAACCGTTCAATACGAGTGTTGTATGTCACTGGTGTACTCATTGTCTATGGCCCAGTACATAATTACTCACATCGTTCTATTTCGCAACCTTCCTCACGTCTACAAAATGTCTAACTTGGGCATGGCTCCATCACCACCGGGAAAAAATAATTATTATTTGCGAAATATTTTTTCTGTTGCTCCCCGAATACCGAGAATTATGATTACTCAGAGACAGGGAGCAACGTTCTGTTATCGGTTATTTTTAATCGTCACAAATATAAAGATAAATTTAAGAACCAGTCTCACAAACGAAGTGACTGTCATGTGTGCAGCTTTCCAAATTACATGTAAGCCAGCAACTGGAGATCTCTGTAACAATACCCAGAAGCTGATGGCTGTTATCAAGCTCACCAGTACGGTGGCCCCAATTTTCACCGATAAGAAAGCTCATATCGGACAGCATGTTGAGGGGTACAGCTTTCATGCTGGTTTCTTCCTTTGCTTATTCTTTAACCCTGAAATTGGAAGCGATATTCCTCCGAAGCGTCGCTTGACTTTCAACGAATTACACGGCGTTTTTTTTTCAACAAGATGGTACTCTTCATTTAAAGAGATCTTGCTCCGAAACGTCGGTTGACATTCAACGGACTACACGGCTTTATATCTAACAAAATATTACTCTTCGTTTGTTTTCTGTTTCATCTTACTGCAACAAGTTTCGGCAGAATATGACCAATATGACCATGCAAGTATATGTGAGTCCTTCCTAAAATGTTTTCATGTATGCTTTTTCTTCGTATGTCTCTATTCGATGTCAATGTTTGAAATTATCCATTTGTAGAAATAATTAAGAACTTCATAAAAATTCATTAAAATATTTTTTTTCATTTGGCGCTACAGCCCCAGTTTGGACCTTAGCCTACCTCCATGACACTCCCCGTTTCACTTGGGTTTACTAGGTCTTAGGCATTAGGTTTGACTCCTTGGGAGGCTGATCAGCTCTTCGCAAGGTTTCTACCTATACAGAAACACAGAAAAATGCGCGCGCGCGCACGCACTCACGCACGCACGCACGCACAAACACTAAACATCCATGCCCTGAGTGGGATTAGAATCCACGATCCCGGCTTCCGAGCGAGGGAAGACAGCACATGCCTCAGACCGCTCAGCTACCGTGACCGGCTTTATTCAAATATATCCCTTATAATTCTGTTCCGCTGAATTCTGTGTCACTGCGTGGATGTGCGTTTTTATAACTGTGCGCACAGCTGGGTAGGCAGCATTTGTATCTGCACGTTAATTGTGTTGAGGCAGCTTATTGGGTTGGCTGTATTGCTGTGCTGTCCTTGTGTGGAAATAAGTTTTGCGACCCTTACAATCGACGCACTTTTCAGTGAGACTTTCAGCAAATTGAATACGTTAGAACCATATAAATCAAAGTTGGAGTACGGCAGAAGTGTAGCGCCTTAATGGAGAGGCAACTACTCTGATACAAGTGTAAGGTGGGAGTCGAACTGTCAAGGATACTGTACGTCCCCCAACTCAACGTAGTTTAATATTAGGTAACATGCTAAAGTGCCTAAGCTTGTCACACCAAGTATACTGTGAAGAATTTGGTTGAGATCGATAGGGAAGTTTTCGATTTCAATAGCACAAGCACGCATGCGTACACAGGGACACAGCCGAGTTTCGGGAGATATACGTTTTAAGGTAAGTTATTAAATCAATAGAATACACCTGCACAGTTCAAATAAAGTAAATTTCCCACTATGCTTCATTAAACGCACGCCATAAAGACGTATGAAGAAATGTAGGTGTAGCTCCATGTACTTTTAACATCGGTACCAGACTGAGGTGGTCAGCTTCACGTCTTGGCTCTGGAAAAATGGGTCCCATATATTCATTATATATGAGATTATGTGGATAATAGAGTCGGTGTGGAGGCTTTAGAGAAGAGAAAAATTTTCAATAAAATGTGAGGTTCTGAAGGCGCTGAATACGAAGATATGATGATGTAAAATATGACACAAGTTTACCGATATTTCGGAGGAAATTACTGGATGTTCAGAGCCAAAATGTCTACCAGACTTACGGTATCACATCCCAGAAGAACTACTGACCCTCCTGGCAGCGGCACTAGTGTTACTTAATTTAGTGTCCTGAACTGATGTAAAGCTAATAATCTTCGAAAATGTTGACACTTTTGATAAGGTCATTTTTGTATAATGTAAAAATACGACATGGTGGTCTTGCGAAGTTTTCCTTTAGTTTACGACTTGAAGGCAACAGCTATGATGATAAATTACTGCATCTAAGAATGTGAAATTTGGTAAGAATATAAATCATAAATGCACCCCCATTATGTTCGGAATACTCTTTGTGAATCTGCAATTACAAACATGGTGACGGTGCGAAAATATGTGGTTACATCAGATATATTCTTTCTAACAAAGTAACAGTAAAGATATTAATAGGATTACAAGTAGAACTACAAATCTATGCAAGAGGAACAGAGAATATACTTCTTATCAATTTGGATGTACTATTCCTCATTCCTTTTCTGAAAAATATTTAGAATGTTCCTTCTCCCTAGAAGTCGGGGTAGCTTAGTCTTCATAGCGATAGGCTGTGGGCAGGAAGGCCGGGGTTCGATTAACGCCAGGAGCAAGATTTTTCTCTCCTCCACAGCGTCCAGACCAGCTCTGGGACCCACCTAGCCTCCTATCCGATGGGTACCGGGACCGATTTCCTCTGATGTAAGGCGGCTTGGGCATGAAGCTGACCATTCAAGTTCATCTGGGGCAGATGTCAAGAATGATGGAGCTATACTTCCACTCCCCCACGTCTTCATGACATAGTACTGAATTCATTAAACACAGGGACAATTTTACCAGGGAACAGGACTTGCTTATTTGTTTTTCTGATTATGTATTTATTTTTCGGTTTCTTTTCCTCTTCGTTTCTTTACATATTTAGGACTATTTATTTCTTCTTATTCTTACTTACCACTTAGGAAAACTAAGACTTCGAGTCCCGGTAGGGTCAAGAATTTTTTCTTCCCCAAGTCGTGCAGGACGGCACTGGGGCCCACCCAGCCTCAAATCCAATGGGTACCGGGGGGCTGTTTCCTCTGAGGTAAAACGGCCAGGGAGTGAAGCTGACCACTCACTTCCAACCAGTGCCTAGGTCAAGGAAACACGGATATGTACATCCACTCTCCCATACGCCTCCATAGCGTAGTGCTTAATTACTTAAGCACTGGGACAACTTGACCTTTACCTTTACTAATGATCATGATGCTGACAATGACAGTTATGAGCCATACTGGTGAAGACGACAATGAACATGGGAGAAATAAGGAGAAAAATTTCGAAATTGAACCTTAAGCCAGAAAATGGAGAGCAAATATTTATGTGCACCGTTTCTTACAGACCTACCTACGTGTGCGAGACTATGAAGACAAAATTATCACCCACCTTCGTCTGAGGCATACATCAACCCTAGGCAAAGAGAAACTAAATCATTCGCAAATAACTCGTCATAGTCACAGCCGTGACAAATTCAAATCTCGCAAAATTATCTGCGTTCTTAACGGTGCAAGTATCCGTTTATAAATTGTGGATATTTGGGCTTTATACTTATCTTTTCTATTGTGAATAATATAAATATAATTCATTAGTATTTAGTATTACTCTATGAACGGTACTTAACTTATTAAGGTGTGACCCAAGTACTTTTAAAATTTTACCATCATGTTGTTCGCCATATCAGTACTACCAACCGTAGTTTATAAGTAAAAAAACAGAACTCAAAGCATAACATTTTCAAAACGGAACCCAAGATCTAACAATTTGAAAACAAGACCAAGAAACATTACTTACTTACTTACTTACTTACTTACCCATGGAGCTGAACTCTTCTGGAGGAGCCACCAATTATGTAGCTACTCAAGAATTTTCCAGCATTTTATGGAACCCGAAGGTTCATTACCGTGTTCACAAGAGCCCTCCACTGGTCCCTATTCTGAGCCATATCAATCCAATCCATACCATCCCATCCTATATCTCTAAGATCCATTTTAATATTGTTCACCCACCTACGCCTTGGTCTTCCCTGTGGTCTCTTTCCTTCTGGCTTTCCCACCAATATCCTATACGCATTCCTCCTCTCTCCTATTCGTATTACATGCCATACCCACCTCATCCTCCATGAGACCAAGAAACCTAACCTTACAAATTTATTGTTGGAGGCATATTCTGTGGCTTAGGTTTCATTGTTCTTTCTCAAATTAATTAGGCTAACGTAGCGAACAACATTGTTGTACCTTCTAAAATTACTTGGATCACCAGGCAATATGTGTCATACGATTTTTTGCCTACTTTCCTTATTTTGATAAACAAAACAAGGCTTATGATATCATATTCTTGTCTGTGTATGTTCATCTGCGTATCCACCAATGTTTTAGGCTTATGAGCTGACCTTGCTGTCTGTTTGTGTGTCCCCCTACTGTTTTCGTATTATGTGTGGTCCATGTCATATGAAAACGAAAGTAGACGAATAGTTCTTGCCAGAAGTTCTTATTTATTCTTTGTTCTCGGAGATAAAACGTCCAATATTACAATATTGCTGTAATCCGTCTAATGATAGGAGGTACAGATAAAGAAATTCCAGGCCAATGTTTTCTGTTAGACGGATACCTGCTCTTCTTCAACCCAGTCGCTTCCCACGGGAGAGGCAGGGATTGAAGCATACGAGGAATCTGAGGAGGACAGCAGCCGTACGCCACCTGTTATCGAAATCGAGGAGAGGTTGTAGCATACCGCATGATAATCAGTGTAGTTACAGATGTCGGACAGTGAGCAGCGCTGCAGTAGTACGTGCAATAACGGAAACACGAAATAATAAGAGTGAAATCACAAAGTTTCAGTGACACATATGACGTAACTGACCAAAGTTAAGGCTAAGTGATTCTGACAACATTGTGTTACAATACGAAACAGTAACTGTATTTCACGTGTTGTTATACATGAATATTCTGAAGAAAATTGAACAGTATATTGTCTGAATAGGCTGATGAAATATTTTTGTACAATTCAGTCAATGCATTCGATAAGGAATCTGTTACGTTTTCGATGCAGAGCGGGAAACTTAAGACAATCTTCAGTCTGCAAAACCGGTAAGAATTTAACATTCTTTTACAATTTAAACACATATGTTAAAGGACGAGATTATACTACAAGCATTGGTTTGTTTTCAATCAATTTCTGAAGGGAAATTTTACTCGGTTACAATTAACATCTTCACTTAATAATAGACAATCGTTTGTTTATAACTACTGCCACTAGTCATTTCATGTTTGGTTTTTAAAGATTTCTTCAAGTTATAGAAACCATAAGTAGAATTTAAATAAGGAAATAGATTTGTCCAATGTGTCTGTAATTATAAATTTGGCATAATTTTTTTCCAAACACTAATTTAGTTCAATGCCGGTCACGGTAGCCGAGCGGTCTAAAGCGTGTACTGTCTTCGCTCGCTTGGAAACCGGGATCGTGGGTTCGAATCCCACTCAGGGTATGGATGTTTAGTTTATGTGTGTGCGTTTTTCTGTATTTGTATACAGGTAGAGGCCTTGCGACGAGCTGATCACCCGCCCAAGGAGTCCTACCGAATGTGTAAGATCTAGAAAAACCGAAGTGAACGGAGAAATTCATGGAGGTAGGCCTAGGCCCACAGGGGCTGTAGTGCCAAGGAAAAAAAATAATCCCCCCTACGTCTTCATGGCATGGTCCTTAATTAGTTAAGCACAGGGACAGTTTTACTATTGACAAAATGTCGAAAATATTTCAACGTACTCCTTGGAGAGGAAAGAAAAAGGATATAATAGAAAACGGGAGCATGAGAATGTGTTATGTTCCACAACAGTGCAGTTCAAACGAATTCCGGCCTTGTGTTTTGAATAAAAAATAAGCACATAAATAGGATATGTATTGCATGACATTAAGTACCTGTATTAAACGCGAACCTCTTCAAAACGTAAAAATGCGGGTATTAGGACTATCCTTTACCTTTTCAATCCTGATTTTTACATATGCCTATTAACTTTCAAGTTCATCAGGTTCAGGCATAGTGTGATATTTTCGTAAGTCACTCTTAGCTGATATACTGACGCTGTATCATTGCAGAGGTTATACAGCATCGAATAAAATTGGTAGAGGGTCAAGAACCGTAAGCGGATAGCACTGTAGATGGAGGATGTAAAAACACTATCCAAACATTCATCTGGAAGAAAACCGAGCAAAACCACATGAAAATATGTAAGATTTGAGGCTTTCACGGCGGTGACTATGAAGAAAGCAGTCTTCTGGGATTTGGCACCGTGTATATGTGGTGTTAACCGAAGTTTCGGACTGCTTTACAGTCTGCTTTACCGTTTCTCACGGTGTTGTCGCTTGCAGATTTCTTATACTTTTTCTTCTACCCTGAAGATGGGGGCGATACGTTCCTCCGAAACGTCGGTTAACACCACATATACACGGTGCCAAATCCCAGAAGACTGCTTTCTTCACATGAAAATATCTGAACGGTGTTTCCGTTCGGTCTCTAATGAATAGAAAAACGTCTAAATTGGAATAAAAAATGAATAGAAAATTAATAATTTTAGAAACAGTACAAGAAACTAAACATGTCTTATTGTTCCTTACGTCTGATTCTACAGGAATCAGTCAAGAAGTAGCGCAATCAAATTTTTGAAACGTCTCTCTTTTGGGGCCTCTTGTCGTAAGCAGATATCGAAGTCTCTAAAATGTCATAAAGCGTATATCATGATATTTTGTTCACACAGATACATACACGTAGAAAACAAAAGAAAAAACAAACTCCGTGATTTTAGTCCGCAAGCGAACTATACCGACCTAGCAACCGCCGCTTGTCGGCGAAGTTTAGTGCCAGCTTTTGCAGATAGAGGGTGCCGCGTGGTCAGCGCAACGAATCCCCACGGCAGTTAATTTCGGTTTTCTAGACCGGAGCCGCTATTTCCTTGAAATAACTCCTCAACTATCACCACGAGGCTGAGTGGACCCCGTTCCAGACCCACCACTTCTCAGAAAATCTGGTAGCCCCGGGAATCGAACCCGGACCTCTGGATCTGTAACCTGGAACGCTGACCACCAGACCAAAGAGGCGGCCACATACACGTAGACGGAAAGATAATATTAAAATGAAAATTATTGAAGAAGGATATGAAATATATTTAGTTGTCTTACGACAGGATCCGGAGACTGGAATTTGGGGTCTGTGTAATGACACGTCACGTTTCACAGGAACACGAAAGTTATGTACGATTTTTTTAACGACGCTTTCAATAGCTAGGACTATATAAGGTCGAATGAGAGAATGATTAGTGAAAAGTTATGAGAAGAGCACGAAATGGCGCGGCTGTAGCCTCACTTCGGGTACTATCGCGGTATTTCTCTCGAGAGACAGAAAAACAAAGAAACTTCTAGATAAAATGAAGAGGTGCAACTGGTTAAGCCTTTAAAGCATCAGATTCATCTAAATGACATATAAAAACTCAGTTCCTGCTTCATACGAAACACACTGCATCTCCATTACAAAAGATTTGGGAAATAGTCAATATTTCTTCTAAGGAAGACATGTAAAGCTATCCCTGTAACAGATCGTGGAGGCCCATATGGATGTGAGACGTCGAGTCTCCCACATTTTCTAGACAATCGGCTCGTAGATGGCGGGGAGGTTGTCAGCCTTATATTCCGGCAGCCTTTTACCCCCCATGAATCTTCCTGGTACTCATTTCTGTTAGAGGCTGTGTCAACCCCAGGACCGTAGTGCGGCTGGAAGAGTAAGGTGAATTGAAAATACCCGACCGACTGAAAGACCTATTGCAGAGCCTTTGCCTACCAATGGCCGTCTCTGCAGTTCTTTTCTGATTGGAATATTCCGGACATCAGGAGTTATGTCACATGTATGTTTAAGCGGTGTTGTAAGAGCTGTCTCTTGGGCCGCGCCGTAGCTCAAGCGGTTAGTCGCTGGTTTCCCACCGCGGCGGCCCGGGTTCGATCCCTGGTCTGGTCAAGTGGGATTTGTGGTGGACAAAGTGGCGCTGGAGCAGGTTTTCTCCGAGTACTTCGGTTTCCCCTGCCAATCTTAATTCCTCCAATTGCTCCACAGTCACCCTCACCTATCATCAGGGGCTGGTACAATAGGCCAGCAGTGGCCGCAGCACAAAGGATTTAGTCCCACCCCACTAGCAATAAAAAAAACGGGCTGTCTCTATTTCGGCATTCGAGAGTTCGGGGATACATAGACACACAGACAGCAAGTTGTTTTAATAAGCCTTCTTTTATTATTTTAAAATAATGAAAGTACGCTAACCTTGCACAGGCATGAGACTAGGACAGAAAGGAAGGTATATGGACGCTTTATGACAATTTTTATTGCATAGTTTCCTGTTACCTCCTTTCGACAAAGTCTGCTCTCAGGTATTTATATAGCTGCAGATATACTGACATGGGTTGTCTGGTGATTGAGGTTAGCTCTTTCTAAGGAACCCAACAGGGTAGGTGTCTCCCTCCTCACCTGGAGGCGGAAACAGATCCACTTTCCGAAACGCTGCGTTCTCTAGTTTTTGGAATGCTGAAAGGCGGACAAAGTCCAAAACCTCAGTAATTCTGAAAGAAGTATTAAATTGAACAGATATGCTGTACGATAAGCTGTTCTTGGGAGAGTATGTTGGTAGAAACGGACGAGTTTTCCGGAAATGTTAAAAATGCCTTAACATGCTTCGATAATTCTATTTCGATCGTCTGTTAATAAGGCCGCTTCTCTGTCAATCTGAAGATGGGGGTGTTTATAATTCAACTGTAAAAGAACGTGGAGAACTTGTTGATTCTGTTGCGCCAAGTCACAAGCCCCAATCGATCCGCATGAATAGCTTCCAGGAACTCCCGTTCTTCCCCCGAGTGAAAATATTCTTGTGCATGTAGCGTCACTGCGACATGGGAAAGAGATATTGATAGGCCGGAGAAAAGTCACTGATTTATTGATAGATCCTTATACTACTGAATGACTATATCAACCCTATGCAGAGTCGAATTGTGGGATGATTGATGAATGATGAATTAGAAAGGGTTTAGAAGGAAGCGGTCGTGGCGTAATCGGGGTTCTATCACGGAATTTGCCTGAGGAATACCACGAGAAATTTCAGTCGTGCTAGCTGGAGTTCTGGCCCGAGATGGATGTAAAAAGTAAAAAAGTAAAGCTATCCCTGTACCAGGCCGTGAAGGCCCATAGGGTTGTGAGACGTTGAGGGTCGCACGTTATCTAGACAATCAGCTCAAAGATGGCGGTAAGGTTGTCAGCCTTATGCGCCGGCCGCGCTTTACTTCCCAGGAAAATTATTTAATTAATTCCTGGTACTCATTTCTGTTAGAGGCTGAGTGAACCCCAGGGCCATAGTGCGGCCGGAAGGATTAGGTCAGTTGAAAAAAATCCAATGACCTCATCGGTATTTGAACCCGCGACCTTCCGACTTGTAGCATAGTGCCTTAACCACTGATGGAAAGGCTTTGGAAGTGGTTGTGGCCTAGTTAAGATGATATCCCGGCATTTGCCCAGAGAACGGACAAAAAACTACGAAAGCCGTTGACAGGCCTGAGGTGTTCCGTCGAAATTCGCAGCAAGCACTTCCCGAATACAAGTCTAGGCCATTGCCGCTATGTTAACCTGCTCGTTTGTGTGTGTGTATAATGTCGAGTCATGACTTTTCATGAATGAAGAATTTGAAGGAGTCGGCCGAGATATGAACCTGGGGCTTCCTGAAGTAAAAGTATAAGGTGTATCTACTCGGCCGCGATGTTCGGAACGGAAAACTGCAAAGATTCACGAGGATCTAGCCTTACGGTAAGGTAAAGACGCCCCTGTGCTCAATTAAACACATCATAAAGTCATAGGGGGAGAGTGGAGGTTACGTCCCAGCGCACTCGTAACCTCGGCACTAGATGGAGGTGAGTGGTCAGACTCACGCTCCGGGCCGCTTTATCCGCGGCTCAACAGCCTACGGTACCCACCGGATAGGAAGCTGGGTCCCACATCCGGACCGGAATTTGTAGGGAAGAGAAACGTCTATTGCCCCTGCAGAGAATCGAATCCCGATTTCTA